TTTTAATACAGTTGTTGTTATTAACTCAATAATAAAGCTTATTTTTTAGTAATAATTAATTAAACTTCCCAACTTACCTTAATGTTACTGCCAACATTTCTATAGGTGGAATACAATTTCTTAAGTGGGTATTTTCTTTCTGGATATGAGGTTGTAGGTACTTTAGTAGTTCATCAAAAGTAGAAATAGACATTCGAAAGTAATTGAAAAATTTCACATTATCTTCCCTTAGCTGGGAAAATAGTGTCTGAAATGTACCAACAATATACCGTTGTGCAACTATTGGATGAACCCAAACAGTTCTCAATTTTTTTGTTTTGCGACGATGTCTTAATAAAGAAATAATAATCATTTTCTTACGTCTGTCCATAATGAAAGAACACTGAATACTGCACTGATACTGAAAATGATGTGAGGTCTCCGGATCGAGAGAAATCGGATAAACAGGTATGCGCTGTGTAAATTCATACGAAAAACACTCGGACCGTTAAAGACCCGGGTCGGGTGTTTTTCTTATAGTATGTAACGACACTTAGGCAGTTATGACAGACGTTCCATTTATTGTTAATATTTGATACTTTGAATTTCTCAGGGAGAATTTTGTCATATCTGCCACTCGTCTTAAATTAGCAGTTCTTACTATACAAAACATTTGTGTGGTAAGGTAATTTTAAATTGAAAATGTATCCAAAGAAAGCCAAAACAAAAAGCACTTACATAGTAAAGTATACAAACACACATGTGACGACTGCCCAAAAACTTACATCAGTCAAGCGGGTAGAACCTTTAACAAACGAATGCCAGAACACAAAAGGGCTTTCGATAATAAAAAACAGATTCTACTTACGTACTTACTCACTTCACCTTCTAGAACATAATTATTCTTTTAATAACCAATTTTAAATTCTTCACATTCAAAATAAAGGCCTTAAGGTATCATTATGAGAATCTATAAAAATTAACAAATTAAAAAATGTAATTCTGAATGACCAACTTAAGACAAACAGTTCTCCCCTTATTAACTTATTTAGTTAAAGACTAGAAAGTGTTGGAGGCATAACAAAAATAGCTCACTTGAGAAATGCACTCTTCCTAAACAGCTGTAGTGATAATTAATTATCATAAAATGTTGTAGAAGTGTTGAAAACAAAAGTTTTCAGTGTTTAATTGCTTAAAAAGTGTATCGTTTTATGTTTTTTGTTGTTTATCATGATTTTTTTGTAAACTTTGTATTCATCAAAACTTTAAACACACAACCAAAATTTTTAAAAAGAACACTAATTTTTTACTTTAATCAATAAAATTCTAAACATTTTTTGATAATTATATACCATGTTGAAACGCTTTGAAAACTTGTTCTCTTCAAATCAAGGTATGTCATGAAAACTAAACTGTCAATTGCATATCTGTAGTTTTTACACCTCAGAATTATATGGAATACTTAAGGTATTAAAGACTTCCATCCACCCTACTTCAAATACAAGCAAAACAATCGCTATCTGTAATAAATAAAATAAATATATAACATCTGTAACCAACTCTATTCTACTAACATAACAGTCCCAACGATCAGGACTCTGAACAACTGGACTATGTTGGTGTAATGGGAAATGAAAAGGCAGACCAGGTCGCTAAATTGCCATGTTCCTCTGACTCAGCCTTCAAAGAGGTCCAAAGTCATAATGATCTTAAGATATTTATGCCATTAATACAATATTATCCTTTCCATTAAACATGTAATAATGGACACCTGCCAGTATGATTCTTCTAGAAGCAAGCACAACTAAAAATTAAATCTAAAAGACATTCTTATTGTTCCAAATCGTTTTGACAATGTTCTACAATTTATAAAAGAGACATGTTCATTTCAGCTAATCTAATCAGTGAGAGGATCTCACCTGCCCGTGAGAGGATCTAGATCATGATCATCCAGTACATTCTGCTAGATAACAAACGAGACTCTGGCGTCCGAGTTATTACCGGTATAAGCAATCCTCCACTTACTGACGAACAGCTTCGGGTTCCAGTCGGTAAGTGGAAGGGCACCTTCTTGTCCTAGAAATGGAAAATCATTTCTAAATGCGGACGAACCAGACATGGTTAACGACGTGGACATGCATAAGGCAACTGGAAACCAATGCATTAAAGACTCATACAGCATCCCTAGTTAATCATCATGACTAAAAATACAACTAAACATTCTACTGATCATAAAACTCGAAAAACAAGATCCGGCAGAGGAGGAAACTCACAAGACTGCGAAGGAGAGTGTCATGGTTGAAGAATTGAAGGGACTGATTTAAATGCAGTTCTATAGAACTCTTCAGAGCAGCAGTAGATAAAGTCAAGATAGTGATGATGATATACAACCTCCGATTGGGAGACGGCACTTAAAGAAGAAAGAAGAAGTCAATGATTATATAAGATGTCAAGATACGTGAGTTTCAAATAAAAAAATTGCAGTTTTATTCAGGCAAAAATGACAGCGCATCAAATTCGTACGATTAATTGCTTCGAATTGTAAATAAAGTGCTTCAAATTTTAAAGATAGTTAGTATTTACTTAAAAATTTTACAAAACAAGATTATTAAAAGCAACTATACCTAGTCATAGAGCGTCGGCATTTGACACATGTTCAAATGGTAAATGTTGTGAATACGGTTGAAGCTGGTCTTTCAAAAGCTGATGTTGCACGACATTTTGACGTGTCTCGGAAAGTGATGCGAATCGAATCTTTTATTGATAAATATTTTTTTAATTTTTTACTTTTCAGTTAATTTCTGTAGTTTGTTAGGTATTTTTCATGCAGTTTTTAATTTAAACCTGATTAGAATAAATATATGATGACTAGAAACGAATTGATCGCGTGTAGTAAATTAATGTGAAAAACCGTTATTTTGTGACGCTATGTGTGACGACGCCATCTTGTGGCACTAGTTCCGTGAGGCTCACCTTACTTATTTAACCCATTCACTTCCAATAGTCAGTTTAACCTCTTAAGCGCACCGGGTCGCCTACTTAAGTGAAACGCTCGAGTCGTGATTTCGCGTCATTGGCGTGTGGAATGAAAACGTGAATTCGCGTCCTTGGCGTATCATTATGGTGACAAGTTAACTTTATTAACATTATAACTAAATAAATAAAAAATAGTGTATTTTTAACTTTAATATATTGCTGTATTGGACTGTTAAATTGCATAAACTAACACAAAATGTTCACTTTCAAAAAAGTATAAGGAAAAGTAGAAGCAAAAAAAGGTTATTGTAAATTCTTGTCGAATACAGGAAAGCATTCGAGGCACAAAGCTGGTTTGTCTGCACATTCCAGGCAGCAGTACATGGTTTTCTTTCGTTGTTTTTTGGAGGCACACAATGTACACTTTCTTCTTATAGAACGAAAATCTCCATCTTTATTTGGTTTTTTTATGTTTTGCGGAAAGTGCTTTGTTTTTTGTTGTTTGGAAGCTGTTTCGCCGGTTGTATTTTCTGTATGTGACAATAAATATTGTAATACCTTCAGCCTAGAAACCTAAAATCGTAGAAGGACATTTTATCTCCTCTAGGATGATTTTTATTATAAAGGCTAAATGCATTAAACAACATAATTTGGAAAATATGTATTCCAAGTTTAAGGTACCATCGCATACTTTTTCGATCGCAACTGTAATAAGAAAGCATCTGATCCTTCATGTCAACACCACCCATATGCGTATTGTATTCTGCAATACATCTTGGTTTTTTAAATTGCTGCTTTCGCTTGTTCTCACAAAGAATTTGTTGGGCCTTATGTTCCGTTGATAACATCAAAATGTCTCTCTTATCTTTCCATTTTAAAATGTTGATTCCATTTGAATATTTTGAGACAAATTCCCCTTTTTTAAGTTGGGTGTTCAGCATTTCAGGTGGAATAATTTTTTTGTTTGTTCTCAATGTAACGGTAACATATGTGCCATTTTGTAACAGGTCATGTGCTGAACTAATGCTTGTATAAAAATTGTCTCCCTAAATGGCATGTCCCCTATGATATATGTTTTCACACAATTTCATCACAACTTTTGACGAATGTCCTACTCCACCAATATCAGTATCATTGGCACCAGTGTAAATTAATATTTTTTGAATCATCCCATTAGGCTCGCACAACATACAGCTTAATACCATACCTGCAGCGTTTATTTTTTATATATTGTCGAAAAATGAGCCTTCCCCTCCAAGGCATCATTGACTCATTGATTAATAAATTTTTCTCCGGATAGTAGATTTCTTCCATGCGTTGGTTAAACAAATTAAGAAGAGGTCGTATTTTAAACAGACGGTCACTTAGTATGCGTTCGCCATCTACAGGATTATCTATAAAATGTCTACAAAACGTATTGCTCTCAGAATGGTTTGAAATCGATTACGGGACATAAAATTTCTAAATACAGGAATATTGAACAGAAAAGTGGTATTCCAATAATTTTCTATTCTATTCAGCTTTATTCTACCTGTGTGGTACAATAGTCCCAAAAATACTTTAAATTCATTCAGAGACACATCTTTCCATGCAGGAATTCTAGAATGTCCAGCAACACCCCTTAAAAAAATCTACTCTGCAAATTTGTTTGTATGTGTAAGAAGGATGTTGTAAATTTCAGATGTAGCGAATAAATTAAAATACGAATACGGTTCGTCGTTCTCAATATTTACTGGAACTTGCATACCCGTAAAGTCTATTTGCTGTAAATATTCGTTATCTGTCCAATGCCAAGTATCTGAATTTTGGTTTTCAGCAACCGTAACCTCTTCATCTGGAGACGTTTCATTATCCGTCACATCAGATGTTGATTCATCGTCTTCAGATTCCTCATCGGAATCTAATTCCCCCGAAAACAGCAACTCCATGGCCTGCTCAGGCGTGTATTTTCTTTTGAATTGCCACCTAAAATTTAAAACCGAACATAACCTCAAATATTTCTGTATCAATCAAGCTAATAAATTTATAGCGGTTTTAAAATTTACCTTTTTGCCTTTTCTCCTTCCGAATGTTCCATTTTATAAGCATCTTTTGATGTACTTGGACGATCCATTAGAACACTTAACTACTCTACTTCACCCTCTCACAAAATGACAACTGACCCAAACAAACAACCAACCATCTAGTAATATAATTTAAGGTCACCCTACCACGCCAACCAAATATTATACCTGCATATTCAGCGCTGCCAATGTTATAGGCAATATATTTTACAATGTCCGAAAACGCGTATTCACGTCCTTGGCGTTACAAATGAAACACAGAAGACGTGAATTAGCGTCTTTGGCAGTGAATGGGTTAATATAGCAAAAAAAGTAATAAAGGCCAGTACAGAAGCTTTGCTTTGGCAGTTAAGTTAGCGAAGAATTTGAAACGTATGGATAGTGATAGGAATAGACAAGAACAATATTATGATTATCAGGATGATTTATTAGAGCTTAGGTGTAGGATGACAGCTAGGCGAATACTGTCTACATCCTCGGGAAGCCGATTCCGTTAGGGATAAATATAAAGGAAAAAATAACGGATGGTATTGTAAATAGTAACCATGTGAAGTTCCGTCAAAAAAATTGATTATCAACTATAAATTAAGAAAAATTATATACGATCTTTACTATTTTTAGCTTAACTGTGTTCTTCATTTGCTTAATACTTCTTCTTCTTCTTCTATTTTTTGAAGATCTTTCGATCTGTTTAATTCTGAAGCTGCCTCTGGTTAATTTCTTGGGAGGTAGATTGCCAACTATCCCTCCATCTTTTAGGTGGTCTTCCGGGGGGTCTTGAACCGGGCGGATTGTTTTCTAGGGCAATTTTTGGGAGTCTATTCTCATCCATTCGTCTTACATGGTTGTACCACATCCTCTTGCGCTGCCTTCCCCATCTTACAATATCTTGAATTTTGCACTGCTCTCTGTTTGTATTTCTCACTCTGTCTCTTCTTGTTTTCCCCATTATTGTTCTTAGGGTTTTCATTTCGGCAACCCTTAGCATCTGTTTCGTTTTGTTGGTATCTTCGCGCACTTCTATGCCATATGTCATGATCGGTCGTATGCAAGTCTTATAGATTCTAATTTTACTATCTGTGCGCATATACGGATTTGACCAGACTATCTCCCGCAGACATCCTGACAGTGCAGATGCTTTGTTGATTTGACTCCTCAGGTCCTTTACTGGGTCGTGGGTGCTTGATATATCTATGCCCAGATATCTGAATTGCATCACCTGTTATATGGGGTTGTCCTCAACCACTAACTTACATCTGAGCGGATCTTTTGCTATTGTCATACATTTAGTTTTGTTGGTAGAGATGTTCATATTTAGTAGTCGGCTTGTTTGAAAGAACTGAAAGAGCTGCCTTTGGAGATCATCTTCTGATTCGGCAATAATTGCTGCATCGTCTGCGTAACACACCATACCAATTCTTTTGTTGCCCATTCTATATCCGAGATTAAGAGATGTTACTTTGTTGATAATTTTGCCCATGAGAAGATTAAACAAGAAGGGGCTTAAACTGTCGCCTTGTCTAATTCCTCCCGGTGTTGGAATATTTTCAGTGAATTCGTCTCCTGCTCTAACTTTGGTTACGTTGTTGTTATTTAGATTATGGAGTATCTTTGTTATACTGGTCGGTGTTTCATTTTCTATTAATATATTTAGGATGTATCCCAGGCGAACTCTGTCAAATGCCTTCGTCAAATCAATGAAGCAAATATACGCTGGCATGCCGAACTCTATAGCTTTTTCTTTTATTTGTTTGATTATAAATACTGCGTCTGTTATAGACCGCCCTTTTGTAAAACCTTGTTGTTCTTCAGCATTAGTGATTTGCTTTTCCAATTTGTCCTTGAGAATACCCGTGAAAAGTTTCATTGTTGTATTTAAGAGGGTTATTCCTCTATAGTTTTGTGGGCAGGTTTTTTGTCCTTTTTTAAATATGAGGATTGTGATACTATTATGCCATTCCTCTGGTGTTTCTGTTTTGTTTAATATTTTGTTAAATAGTTGTGCCAGTTTACTTGCAAGTTCCGGGCCTCCATATTTTAAAAGTTCATTGGGTATACCATCCGTTCCCGGTGATTTTCTGTTTTTTAGCTTTTTGATCTTTGCTTCTACTTCTTCGTCATTGATTGTAGCACTCACATCTGTTTCGCCTTCGTTTATATTCAGCGTTTCTTCAGCATCATATAGCTCTTTAAAATGCTGTTGCCATGTCTCTATAGATACTCCTTTGGTCTGCACGAACTCGTTAACTGGTTTTTTCCTGTTGCGGAGCATTTTCCATACTTTCTTTTGGGCACCATATAGGTCGTAGTCCATGTCGCAAGTGAATTTGGCCCAATGTTCTCTTTTGATTGATTTTATTCTGGCGTTTACTTCGTTTCTTATTTGAACATATTCTGCATGAGCTTCTTCCGATTGCGTGCTTTTATATCTCAGGTAGCATTTGCGTTTTAATTCAGAGAGTTCTTTTACCTCTTGGCAAAACCACGGTTTGGTGTGGTTTGTCGCTCTCGTGTTAATTTTCCGCTTTCCAATCGCTTCTTCTGCTGCTTCGTTGATGCATTTCTTAATTTTTTGCCAAGTATCTTCTACTCCCCATTCGGGTTTTAAGTCGATCTCTTTTAGTTTGCTGGTAATCCTGTTCTCATAGAGCAGTTTTGTCTCTCTGTTGCTAGCGACTCTATATTATGTTTTTCGATGAACATTGGGGGTTTTCTGTTTCGTTGCGGACGTTCTAGTAGCATCTTACATAAAACAAGGTTATGATCAGTCCCCAGGTTAGCAGATGTTAGTGCTCTGACATCAAGTACTTGTGACGGAGTTATCGCTCGATTTGTGCTTAATACAATTCACTTAATCGCTTTGAACCTTTTTAATGATTTGATTGATAAATATATCATGCAAATTGTAGATATAGAGGCAGGTAATTTTTCACTTCTGTTTGTTTAATTGCATTGACGATATATCCCCTAATTACCCACTTGATACGACTGTTTATATAAACATTCACAGATGTATTACTTCAAGTTAGCCTTGATATCGGAAACATAGCCGGGAGGTAGTTACTACATTAATAGAAAGAAAAAACTTGCAATATTTTGGCTGACCAAAAACGAACAAAAACCGGCAGGTTAAAAGATTTCCTGTTTGACGGGTTGTACAAAACTAAGTAAGACCTTCAATAAACAGTCTACGAGTCTAGTTCAAAATGTTTATATTCTACAAAGAGTTCATTCACTTGAAGGAATAAAACTGAATCAATATGAGAATTGGAAATGATGTTTTCATTTACAACTAATTTGATAAGATTTTGAATTATTTATTTCAAATTGTTGTCCAAATTTCTAAATGATTTAAAAAACAAATAAAGCAAAATAAACCATAAGGAAGATAAAAGAAAAGTTTTATCAAACATGCTCCATACTGTTATCATTATGTTAGCTTAGATATGTTACTCTACGAAAAGGGAACAATAATGGTAGAAAAGGGATGTAGATGCTCTAATAACCATTAAAGCAGAAAAGGAACATGCCTAGACCAACTATTAGTTTATTTTCTAAAACTTATTGGGACAGAGAAGATTTATATCTTAGTAAATTTGTCGATAATTATCATTTATGCTTTTTTGATTTAAACAATATCTATATTAAAAATTATGTTTTTAATCCGGCACTACATATGTGGGGTTTCACAAACCCCAGCTCCCAAATATCGCTCCTAAAATAAATCAAACACAGACTTATGCGCACGTCCACCCCAATAGCTTCCCAAAAATGTCCCTACCATCGAATTCAGACTTTATCTCAGTACATTGTAGTACTATGTACTCGCGTTTGCAATTTTGACATAAGTAAGTTTTTATTTTTGACTTACTTGAATCTGCATATTCAATTGTTTAATTTTTTAGCTAAAATATCATGTCATACGAAGCGGAACAGAAAAAGCTTGAAGCTCTATGGGCTGAAATTGATGACGATGCCATCGAATCGGGAAGCGATGACAATATTTACCACATCTCTGAAAGCGACCACAACACCGACTCGGAGCAGGATATCGCAATAGAAGATGGAGTTTCTGACGGAGATTCAGACATGGAGACATAAAACACTTTTATCGTATGTGCCGAAAAAAAATCAAAACGTCCTCTTGAATCAATATGGCCTCTTACGATCGTGTTTTCTTTCTTGAATACAGCCGCCAGAGAACAGAGAAAACAATCAAGATTTCAAACTTGCCAGAAGATTGTTTATCAAAATTTTGGGCTTTGAATTGATCCAGGACCACATATCTGAAAGAAAAAATAATCCAAGAATACCAAGGAGTATTCGTCAAAACATTGCACATTTTGGCCAAGATGCCCCTACAGTGCCACCCGCCAAGATTCCAAAACTCATGGGGAGATGTTCAGTATGTCCAAGAAGCCGAGATCAGAAAACTAAATATTTCTGTTCAAACTGTGAATCATTACTGTGCCTGAAGCATGCTGTCATAAGTTGTCAAAATTGCATGAATTCAAATAGCGATTAATTTTTTTTCCGTCACTGAACAAACGGGCAGAGTTTTTCCTTATATTATCTTACTATTAGATTTTCATTTACTATTGTATTTTTGATCATATGATGTTTATATTTTTTGGTAAGATTGTTCAGTTAAGTTGTGGTTTTTGCTTATGGAGAATTGCCTATTATTAGTTCATTTTTAATTTCTTTTGAGTAAAGGTGTTCTGATTATTTCTTTTTTGCTTAAATAGTCCTTAAATGATCACTCCAGACCATGAAATTGGAAAACATATAAAAAAACTGCCAGAAAAAATTCTGATTTTCTTAGAAATTGGGGTTTGTCACACCCCACATATGTACTAATGACAGAAAAATTCACGTATGTGACGCCGGGTTAAATTATGTTTACAATTGATTGTAATGAAAATTACATTGTTAATAACGTTTGACATTTCAATTTGCGCTCCTGAAATTGTTTTTAAAAAAGATATTTAAAAAATTGTTGGAAAAGTTTATCCACCAAGAAAA